CCCCTCCGAGGCACAGAGGCGGTTTGCCCCGCCGTGGGCCTAGGGGCGAAGACCCCCAAAGCGCTCATCGGTATGGTTTCTTGGCCCCTGGCTGCTCTTGGGCCCCGAAGTTACTCGGCAGTTCACTCGTTCCTGCTTTTCCCGTCCGGGCAGGCGTCTTGCTCTTGCCCTTTCATCTTCACGATGGGAAAATTTTGGTGATGACTTCCAGCCACACGTCCAAGAGATGTGGGTTCTCGGATGGGCCCCTCCAGGAGCTGCACCCAGCGGGGACAGTCAGAAGGGAATGTGGATTGGGTGCGGGCCTTTTACCTGGACCCAGGGAGGGAGAGGCGTGAGGCGGTGCCCCTCATTTGTGCCAGGCCCCGTCGTGATGTGTCAACTGGTCAAAAAAACAGCTTTGGAGGACAGGGTGACCTTGGCATTAGGAAGCTGAAGCTTAGCCGGGCTCGGTGGCTCAGCCTGTGATCCCGCGCCTTTGGGAGGCTGAGGTGAGTGGATTGCCTGAGCCCGCGGGTTCGAGACCCGCCCGGGCAACGAGACCTCATCTCTACAATAAATCAAAAAATCAGCTGGGCGTGGTAGTGCATGCCTGTAATTCCGGCTACTTGGAAGGCTGAGGCGGAAGGATCGCCGGAGCCCAGCAGGTCGAGGCTGCGGTGGCCGGGAGCGGCCACTGCACTCCAGTCTGGGCGACAGAGTGAGACTCCAACTCAAAAAAAATTAAATAAATACATTAAAAAATAAAATAAAGAAAATAAAGAAAACTGAAGCTTGTTTCCAGTTTTATTTATTTGTTTTTGAGTTGGGGTCTTGCTGCATTACCCAGGCTGGAGTGTAGTGGCGCACTCAGGGCCACTGTAACCTCGACCTGCTGGGCTTGGGCAATCCTTCTGCCTCAGCCTTCCAAGTAGCTGGAACCATAGAGGCGCTCACCACCATGCCTGGCTAATTTTTTGATTTACTATAGAGATGAGGTCTCGACCATGTTGCCCAGGCTGGTCTCGAACCCCTGAGCTCAAGCAGTTCTCTCGCCTCGGCCTCCCAAAGTGCTGAGATTACAAACGTGAGACACGGCGCCCAAGGAGTTCAGTTTTAAAGAACCCATTCTATGGTCGAACAGCTGGCGGGTGCCTGTGCCAGGACACTAGGCCAGCCCTCACTTCCTCTTTTTTTTTTTTGTTAAAAGGAATCATTTTGATCTCTCTTTTTGGAGGGGGGAATCTCACTTTGGCGCACAGGCTGAAGTGCAGTGATGGGATCCTGGCTCAGTACAGCCTTGGCCTCCTGGGCTCAGGCAATCCTCCCGCCTCAGTCTACCGAGTAGCTGGGACTATAGGCGTGGGCCACCCTAATGCTAGTTAAAAAATATATCCCAGTGGGGCCTCAAATGTTAGGTCAGACCCGCCGGGGTGGGGTTTTGCGATGCCGCATGCGCGAAAGATGCAAAGAATTGCACAGTGGGTAGATTAGAAAATATAGTTTATTTAGAAAGTAAATTAGAAAGTACAATAGAGAGAGAAGAGAGAAAAGAGATGGGAGATTCACCTCTCCAAGTCAGGATAGGGGACCAAAGCTTAGGAAACATGGCGGCCACAGCTCAAAGAGCATGTGGCTGAACCACAGCTTAGCAGAGCAATGGCGGTGTCTGCTCGAAGTTGAATCCTTTTTAAACTTTCCCTTTGATGGAGGAAGGTCCTTAAGGTGATTGAATGGTGATCTGGTCCACTTCATCACAGAGAGCAGGTATGCTCAGGTACTGACATTAGGTGATGGATGGCTGGCAGATGGGTGGGTTAGTCACATGACAGTTACCTTGCTCGGGTCTTATAGGTGGAGGCACACACTTGAAGTAGAAAAGCTAGCTGGGCTCGGTGGCTCAGCCTGTCATCCCGCACCTTTGGGAGGCTGAGGTGAGTGGATTGCCTGAGCCCGCGGGTTCGAGACCCGCCTGGGCAACTTGGCGAGACCTCATCTGTACAATAAGTCAAAAACTAGCCGGGCGTGGTAGCGCGTGCCTGTAGTTCCAGCTACTTGGAAGACTGAGGCGGAAGGATCGCCGGAGCCCAGCAGGTCGAGGCTGCGATGACCGGGAGCGGCCACTGCACTCCAGTCTGGGCGACAGAGTGAGACTCCAACTCAAAAAAAAAAAAAAAGAAATAGAAAAGCTAATTGATACAAAATAAGCTGGGGAGGGGGTTGTAAAGCAATTATCAATAGCTGCCTCTGAGAAGCCGGTTCTGTCCCTAGCTAGTGGATTAGAGAGTAAAATAAAGTGAGCTGCTGGAGAATCATGCCGGTTCTAAGGAACGTTAAAATGGCTGCTCATCGAGTATACTGACTCTATGTTATGTCCTTTCAATCTGCGTATGAAGTGCTTTTCCACGCACCGGGAACTATAGCTGCACAACCAAGCTTTGGGTCCAGAGCCTTCGCCTCTCTAGGCCTTTATTTTTGCAGCTGTGATATGCATGTTTAGAAATATTTGATGTTTCTGAACCCCAGACAAGTGAGTCAGGTTTGAATGTTTCTCATCCATGATTTCATTACAATCAGGTGGATCATTGGGGCACCATGAAACTACAATGTGAGCACTTTATGTATACTATGTTTTTTTTTGGTTTGTTTATTTATTTATTTTGGGTTGGAGTCTCACTGCATCGCCCAGACTGTAGTGCGGTGGCATGCTTCCAGCCACCGCAGCCTCGACCTGCTGGGCTCCGGCGATCCTTCCGCCTCAAGTAGCCGGAACTACAGGCATGCACTACCACGCCCAGCTAATTTTTTGATTTATTGTAGAGATGAGGTCTCGCCAGGTTGACCAGGTGGGTCTCGAACCTGCGGGCTCAGGCAATCCACTCACCTCAGCCTCCCAAAGGCGCGGGATTACAGGCTGAGCCACCGAGCCCGGTTGCAATGTCATCTTTAATATGCACACACACATTTACAAAACAGATTTTTTTTTTTGAGTCGGAGTCATACATTTTCCCCCAGGCTGGAGTGCAGTTACACAATCATAGCTATCGCAGTCTTGGCCTACTGGGCTCACGTGATCCTTCTACCTCAGCCTTCCAAGTCGCTGAGACTACAGGTGCACGCCATCATGCCCGGCTAATTTTTTGATTTATTGTAGAGATGAGGTCTCGCCATGTTGTCCAGGGTGGTCTCCATTTCCAGGGCTCAGGCAATCCTCTCACCTTGCCCTCGCAAGGTGTTGGAATTACAGGACAGAGCCCCCCTGCCCACCCTAGCCTATTCACATATTAATAGTTACAGCAAGAGTGTTTTTTTAACTATACAGGCCATGTTAAGTTTATTTTGCTGGAGATTTTCATAAAGAATCTGATTGGAGCCTACATAAAAAGAAATTAGCCAGGAGTACTGACTCATGCCTTTGGTTCCAGCTACTTGGAGGTCTGAGGTGGAAGGACTGCTTGAACTCAGCAGGTCAAGGCTGTGGTGACTGTGAGTGTACCACTATATTCCAGCCTGGGCGACAGAGTGAGATTCCGACTCCAAAAAAAAATGTCATGCTATACATCATTTTATTTTATTTTATTTTTTGAGTTGGAGTCTCATTCCGTCTCCCAGACTGGAGTGCTGTGACCGCTCCCGGCCACCACAGCCTCAACCTGCTGTGCTCTGGCAATCCTTCTGCCTCAGCCTTACAAGTAGCTGGAACTACAGGCGTGCACTACCACGCCCGGCTAATTTTTGATTTGTTGTAGAGATGAGGT